GAAACAAGTGAGCTGTAACAAATGGAGTTTGGTATCTTTGGCATCTAGCAAATAGATGGCGCCAATACTAAGAAATTTAAATAAAAATAGATTTTTAAATTCAATTTTATTAAAGGAAATTAAAAATGCTACATCATGACTGGTAGTACACATTGGTCGAATGTTTTCTTCTTTAGATAAAGTGGCATTCTAGGTTTGAATATGATTGAGTTTCTTCCATAAATACTCCATGCTAACTTAATTCTTCTGTTGATTTCTGGTAGCAGAGATCCCGAGTTGTGTATTAGTTGTCCCAAATATATATATTCTTCTACTCTTTCTAGTGTTATGTTATTTATTAGAATGCTTTTTCTGCCTACTAGTTTGTTGTACCTACATTACTCTAGTTTTTGCTAAATCCATTTGAAGACATACTTTATTGCTGACTGTATTTAGTTCGTTAAGTTGCCCTGCTCTAGTGTATATGCTCAGTTGTTTTACACTTGACAGTGATAATATATCTAACTAAAATGTTGTGTAAGTAGAAATCACACTCGATAGCCATGAATAACATATGTTAAAAATAAAACCGCAAATACAACAATTTTTAAGTACAAAAAATAAATAAAAAACACAGTTGTACGTCTATGTCGAGCGTCTTAACTAGATTTAAGGAGTAAAAACTCAACAGGGTATAAAATTGAAACGCATGAACTACTACGTTCGGGCTCTAGAAATAGGTCCGTTTCGGTGTGGTATTTCTGGATCGCACTTTGATTAATACCGTAGATCGTAGATGAATGGCTGGCTCAACTGCCGACACTTTGTTTTTCACTGGATTTGTTTATCTTTGGGCTAGAGTGATCGAGAAACATATTAATGTTGATGTTTATCAAATTGGTTTTAGAGAAATGAGTGTTTTAACAGATGCAAGAAAATATATTAAAATTGTTAATTGTTAATGTCATTGAGACTTCATAATACCCTTTATAGTAATAAAGTTTCAGTAAATACAGCCCTAGCAATACCTTGACAACACAAAACACACATTTTTAATAATTTTATTACTTAGAATTATCCAAAAATACTAAAATAATAATGAAGTAAAAAACTGAATCTTGCACGAACCACAGGCGTTAGTATTGAAATAATGTCAAATATTTCTAATTATTAGTTTTCTATAGATTTTAATTTTTTATTCATAACGGAGATTTACTTTGTTTTATGTTACAAAAAATAGATCTATACAATTAATAGGAGCAGTTGACTACTTAGTATAGAGTAATTATCACTAATTTATATATACATACCTACCTATACGTTATAAATATTATAGAATCCTTTTAAAACAAGAAACAAAGAAATATTTTTAAAAACCGTAATTGCATGGCGCAAATAAAATTTTGTATGCAAAAATATTCCAAAAATTGAGGGGGACATTGAAAATATTGGAAAATACATAGAAAATCTTTTCCCGCAGGACAAATATTTTTTAAAATTTATAGATATATAGATAGAAAGATTTGCCATGCAAAAAGTTTATAAGAAGTATTTTCCTAGAATTCTAAGGGGGTGAAACCATCCCTCAAATATTAGAATATTTTTTGTTTAAAAACGGGTGAGTTTTTCGGAAAAACTCTTAAACACGTATATTTTATTTTGTTGTTTTACATATTTTAAGATTTTTTTTTAAATTTATACAGGGTGTTTCATAAAATATGACCATTGAGTAATCACGATTCTACTTAAACTGCTTGACGTTTAAAGCTGATTTTTGGTAAACGGATTGACTGCGGGGTGTAGAGTTTCGATAAGGAAAAACTCTTAAGGAGGAGTTTCCCGAATCTCAAATTCCAACAGGGTAAAAACGCCCCTCAAATATTACAATATTTGTTATTTAAAAAACGGTTAGTCTTTCGGGGAAGCGCTTGGACACGCATAATTTATTTTATTTTCTTACATATTTTGAAATTTTTAAAAAAATCATAAAGTTGGGTAATTATTAACCACGATTTTGCTTAAACTGCTTGACGTAAAAAGCTTATTTTTGGCAAACGGATTTTTCGAAAGTCAAATTCCAACGAGATGAAACTGCCCCTCAAATATTACCAAGTTATATAATAATATCGACATATTGTTTTTCTCATGCTGACATACATAAATGTGAGAAAATTTTATCCAGTTTGTATGTTAATGGAAATTCTTGCTTTGCTTTATCATCACCATTACAAATGATTAATTCGACGCGGACGAAGTCGCGGGTACACGCTAGTATAAATATAGAGTTGTAAAAATACCACTGTAAAACCGTCTCAGTTACTGGTTTATGTCAAAACCCTGGGACTATTTTATGAGATAGCTCAAGAAAGGGGGACACAATAGATCTGTAAGCTGTAAGGTGGCGGTGATTAACCACTTATTCTACATTCTACATATCGGGTGTTTAAGGTTCCAGTTTATCCCACCTTTATTACCTTGTAAACCATAGACTATTACGTCGTTGTACATACACAAGTCTACCGAAAACGGCGGTTTCTCTTTTTTTCTACAGTGAATTATTGTGTCGAAGCCGGTTAACGGGTGATAAATCAAAAAGTGGCGCGAGTTCAGATCGAACTATAAATTTTAAAGTCGCTCTCGGTGCCGATTAAACAGCATGCATTGGTCGACATGTGTGTGCTTTAATATATTATATAGACCGGTAATTGGTCTTTCTGTGCCCCTATTGACACATCATGGAGTCGTACTTAACTACTGTGTACGGATAAATTACTTACATTAAAAAAAAGATCAATCGTCAGTGGCTTTTTCTTTGTATATCAAATTTTCTTGTTTAAAAATTTTCTTGCTTAAAAAATGCTTAACATTATTACTAACATCTACAGATGCCTGAGAGATACACTTATTTGTACTTGTCTGCATTACAAAAGCTTTTTTATTTTTGTACAAAGGATATTGATTCTTCCATTACAATTTTTGCATTGTTGAAGTCTTGCTGAAAAGTTTTCTTTTTAAATGAAATTTAAAATAATTTTTTATAACTTAACATTCATCGCCGTGAATCATCTTTGATACTACTGTAAGTTCCTAATTTATACCATATTTATACCTTATCTTCGTAACGTATGATTTTATTGAAAATTTAAATTGAAAAGATTGATATTACAGGCGCACCGTTTATTTATTAACTTAATATATAAACATCAAAGGCCCGTAAATACGTCATATCAAATTAAGTTCGAAAACATTTTTCGAACTTTTAAAAGCTTCCTTTGATCTCGCCTTTTACCAATCAGCCTGAACAAAATTGAAAAACTGAATATGGTGATTGAAAGTCGAAAAAGTTTTAATAAAATTGTCTATATTAGAAATTTGTATAGAGCCACAATATCTAAATGAATGATTTTTTTGTACTAAATATACAGGGTGTCCCAGAAATAAGTGCAAGTATTTAAACTGGTAGTATATTTCGGCCTCAGAAACACGCCTATGAGGTTTTTTTGCGAAAAAAAAATATTTTTTTTTAGTTTTAAGTAAAAAACATAATTTCTTAATAATATGGCAACATGGGTAGTAGATTAAATTTACATGAAAGAAAATCCAGAAAAGATCCAGTGGTTCTCAATATTTAAGCAAAAAAGCATTTTTTATTTTTAAAGTAAAATAACTTGGTTATTTTGGACTTATTTGAAAAATGGTAAAGAGAAAAAGTGTTTCTTTTGACCAGATTTACCACCCCTTAAAATACTTGCACTTATTTCTGGGACACCCTGTATAATAATGATATATGTTTTGGGTATTTTGTTAATATGACAACATTTCCGGATAGATAGTAGAGATAATACATATGGATAGAATAAAAAGGTTTTCTTCTGTCTTTTATTCGATGGAAAGCAAAAGTTGATATTTTGGTGAATGTTTCAAATATTCTGTAGAATTATGATTATTGTTAGTTCCCAGTAGTTAGTACGCAGAAAAAAGTCGTGGTTGTTTGGGAAGGCTTGAAAGGGAAACAATGTTTTTGCGACGTTTCGCGACTTTATTGTCGCTTCTTCAGGCACTATAGGAGAAGCGGTTTTTTCAAAAATATCAGAACAAAATTAACTGACCACTTACCCAAAACATATATTAATCCACATTATGCCTACAAACATTCTGTAGAATAGTTTACCGAAGTAAATAACTTAAAACTACTTCATCCTCAAAGTGCATCTTTTTTCGATAACTTGTTTTTGAAATCGATCAAAAATCACTGTCAAAACACTTTGTTAATAGTTAGAGATGTATTAGAAAATTCGACAATAAATGATGTTAAAATAATTTCTGTTGGAGTCATAATTCCTGTACAGACTCCTAATTGTCATTTCGCAGCATGTCTATTAAGCTTGATCCTATATAATCAGGGTTTAATCCAGGATTTGAATCATTGAATGGAGAATATCTCACGCGTAACATACTCCCACTATAATTCCCTTTGGGTTTGGACATGTTAATTTGGCCGAAATACACTATACATTATATATTCCAGCTCGTATCCGTATGCTATTATTCCCAGGCGGTGTCTCGCATTGATTAAAATAATACTGAATATAAATAACAATTACAGAAATCGGCTTAAACGGTCTGAATTGGGCTTTGAAATTTTGTGCAAACAAAATATTCCGAAATAACATTTTAAATTTTAAACCAAATCCAGAAAAGTTTTAATTTCATAAAACATTTTTGTCAGTTAATCCATGAAAAGTTTAATTACTTTTTATTCACTTAAATTAATTCTATGAGTTTTATTGAATTAATGTAAAAATACAATTTTTTGAATTATTTCTACAATCAATAGCAGCACACAGTAGGTACTCATTTTTTGTCAATCCGTCTCTCTGCTGGGACGCAACTATGCTTATACTTCTACTATGCTAATAGGTGCCAGCTCTGCGAAATAGGACATGTAGTTTTTCAAAGGAACGCTTATCATAACGAACACTTATCAAACACGTTTTATCATGTTTATTTTTTGTTTCCAGATCGTCCGCCATCCCGCACAAAGGTGGCGCTACCAGCAGCATCCCTCTGCCGGGCAGTGCCCTCCCTGCGCGAAGATGTCCGCCGGACAAAGTACGACCCGTTGCCAGCTCTTCCAGGGCTACCAGTCCGGCTCTGAGTATGATACCAAGAGCTCCACCGGGTACTCAGATAGCCAGTCCGTACCAGACCACTCAAGGGAGTGGTGGTGGTGTCAAAGGTGGTACCGCGCAGAATGCTTCGATGTTGGATAAGTTGAAATTGTTCAAGGTTGGTAGTAGTAAATCATAAAAATTATATTGCTAAATATGTGGGAAAAATTGTTTCTCAATTTAATGCCATTGAATATTGGAACTATACCGTGTGTTGCCTAGTCGTACAATTTTTAGTTCAAGTCATTGGCCCAACTAGCTGGCTACGTAGGGCAGACTAGTAGACAGTATATTTATTAGACCTTAGACAGAGATCTTTAGTGATCTATAATCTATACAATAATTAACAAACATATCATGGTAATAAAAAAAACACTAAAATCAAAAATACAGTATGCACATGAACCTTTAACTATTTTCTGCGGATACTTTCCAGTATTCATATAATTAGAAAAATTAATAACAATCACATTTTACATTATAATTTTTTTATTGCAGAACAACGAAAAACCTTCCAGTGGTACTAATGGAAAACGTACTAGTTCTTCCAGCGGAGTGTCATCAGCCAAGAGCGAAAGAAGTGACAGCAGTATTTCTTTAGAAGCAAATATCGACGCGAAGCCAATCAAAAATGTATCTAGAATTAAGCAGACAACCAAGGTTACTAGCAGTACAACGTAAGTATACAGTCAGTGTACCGGGGGCGCATATGCGGGAGGGGGAATGGTACCAATTACACTTCCAGAAATTTATAAATATGTTAAAATCGAGTTTAAAATAAAATTATGCAAAAGGAATTAATAATAATAATAATAATCAAAATAGAAAAACCAGACCAATCAACAACCACGTTATTTTTTCCGCAGTGAAACCATTTTTTCCACCTCTCAACTCAAATTTACTTAACTTACGCACTAACCCCCCAGAACAGTAACTGATGTAGGGGACGTTTTTACCTTCTTCAAAAATAGCTGAACAACATGGGTCCAAAAAATTAATTTTCTCACAAAATCAAGCTACCTAAGCCATCAAAGGTATATATAAAAAACCTAATGAACAGAGCTTTCCATAAAATAATATACATGTACTGATTTCTTTCGAAAATCGACAATTATGAAACTATGAACTCTTCCCGGACACAAACGGTACATTGTGAGACAAGAAATTGTAGAGAGAAACAAGCCCTATAACATAGGATACATCATTTTTAATGAACAGTGCTTTCCATAAAATTAATAAAATGAAAAATATACGAAATAATATACATATACTGATTTCTTTCGAAAATCGACAACTATGTCGACAACTATGAACCCTTCCCGGACACAAACCGTACATTGTGAGACAGGAAATTGTAAAGAGAAACAAGCCCTATAACATAGGATACAACATTTTAATGAACAGTGCTGTCCATAAAATTAATAAAATGAAAAATATACGAAATAATATACATATACTGATTTCTTTCGAAAATCGACAACTATGAAACTATGAACCCTTCCCGGACACAAACCGTACATTGTGAGACAGGAAATTGTAGAGAGAAACAAGCCCTATAACATAGGATACAACATTTTAATGAACAGTGCTGTCCATAAAATTAATAAATGAAAAATATACGAAATAATATACATATACTGATTTCTTTCGAAAATCGACAACTATGAAACTATGAACCCTTCCCGGACACAAACCGTACATTGTGAGACAGGAAATTGTAGAGAGAAACAAGCCCTATAACATAGGATACAACATTTTAATGAACAGTGCTGTCCATAAAATTAATAAAATGAAAAATATACGAAATAATATACATATACTGATTTCTTTCGAAAATCGACAACTATGAAACTATGAACCCTTCCCGGACACAAACCGTACATTGTGAGACAGGAAATTGTAGAGAGAAACAAGCCCTATAACATAGGATACAACATTTTAATGAACAGTGCTGTCCATAAAATTAATAAAATGAAAAATATACGAAATAATATACATATACTGATTTCTTTCGAAAATCGACAACTATGAAACTATGAACCCTTCCCGGACACAAACCGTACATTGTGAGACAGGAAATTGTAGAGAGAAACAAGCCCTAGCTATAACATAGGATACAACATTTCAATGAACAGTGCTTGCCATAAAAACAGTAAAATGAAAAATATACGAATTAATATACATGTACTGATTTCTTTCGAAAATCGACAACTATGAAACTATGAACCCTTCCCGGACACAGACGGTACATTGTGAGACAGGAAATTGTAAAGAGAAACAAGCCCTATAACATAGGATACAACATTTTAATGAACAGTGCTTTCCATAAAATCAATAAAATGAAAAATATACCAAATAATATACATGTACTGATTTCTTTCGAACATCGACAACTATGAAACTATGATCCCTTCCCGGACACAAACGGTACATTGTGAGACAGGAAATTGTAAAGAGCAACAAGCCCTATAACATAGGATACAACATTTTAATGAACAGTGCTTTCCATAAAATCTATATTCTAAATTTACCTAAAATTTCCTACAAATTCTGAAATATTCATAATTTTATGTCTATGTTTACGATGTTTCTAAAGTCTTTGAAAATATGTAAATAGTAGCCAAAAAATGGGTCATTTTTTCGACCTTTTTTCCTAAACTTTTACATGACTATTTTCCCAATTTCCTAACAAATTTCATGACTATTTTCCTAAAATAATAGTTATGAAAATTGTCGATTTTCGTCATATCACCGATTTTATTAAAACTGCTGTTATTTACTAATTGAATGGTGTTGAACACGAAAAGGTATAGACCATTGTAGTCTTAGGAGAATCAGGGACGCATAAACGGGATGGGTAAAGGGGTAATTACCCCTCCCAGAAACCTAGTTTTTAGATTTCTACATCTTTCTTTTTCTTTGTAGAAATAAGACGGTTCAACAGAAAAACAGTCCCAACGCTTCCAAGAAAGACAATCACAAATTTCCAGCGGCTCAACAAAATGGCGGTCCCAAAATGGCGATAGAGGTGGAAAAGCATAAGATTACAGGCTTGCCAACCAGCAAAATCGCCGAACCGAAAGTTAGAGTTTCAGCTGTGAAGGAGATCAAACCGTCCTCAGGACACCATCAGCCTGCTGCTGGTAACGGAACTGGTATTCCCAAACCAACCTTAGCTGTGAAAGGTATGTTTGCTGTAAATTAGAGGTGGGCAAAGATTGAACGAGTCGTTCAATTGAACGGGTATTAAAAATGAATCGTGAGATTCGATTCACCGTTTATAATATGGTCGTTCAATTGATTCGTGCAATTTAATAACAATATTGAGGGTTATTTCTTGCCACAGATTGTTGTAGTAAATTTACTATTTCGTTAGTTTTACAAATTAAAACATGTTATTATAGTAAATTTACAATTACTTTAGTAAATATTAATAAATTGAATAAAATACGTGCTTATAATTATAATATTTATTATAAAGGTTAATAAAAACTTACAAAACAGAACTTATATATATATATAAGATACTCATTGCCGTCTCTTCTTGTCTAGAAGAACCTTACTGAACACCCTTACCAAACCAAACCAAAACAAAATGCCATTAGATATAAAATAAAAAAACATGCAAGCTAACCAATGTTTTATCTCTTCTTTTCCAGGAACCACCAAATCAGTATCTTCCACCAACATTTCTTCCCACCATCATAAGCCTCAAATTTCACGTGAACCGTCACAAACGTCATTATCCAATCAAAAACCAGCTGTAGCTTTAGTGTCACCAATCAAAAACGACCAATCTAAAGACTGCCACCAATCGCTGCCAAAAGAGAGCCAATCCCAACCAAACCTATGTGATAACGTCACTAAAGAGGTTTCGATGAAGGACGCTATAAAAGAATACTCTGTATCCAAGGAAGAAGTATCGCAACATTTTAGTAGTGTCGCTACAGGGATACAGAGTCACTGTAGTGATAATTCTGTAGTCTATAAGGTGTCTAATGACTGTAGTTTTGTGGAGAATCAGAATATTCTCATATCGAACAGGTGGGTATTTCTTTTAACATAACAAGTAACATTGTAGTGCTATTACTACGATATGCTCGAAAAAAAAAAACGGCGTCGAAGACGGCTGGGGAATAACAATCGATGATAATTTTTGACGAGGTCAAGCCCTAGACGTCATTTCTTGACCCGTATCTTCTATTTTTTAATGGCACTTACTATCAGCCGGCTTAAAGAAGGTTTAAATTTATTTTTATGTTGTAATAATACACAGGATGTTTATTTAAAATATACATTATTTGGGTCACTCTGTACAATTACTAAAAATCTACTTATTTAGCTACAATAATAGCTTCAATAAGCATATATATTTGAAAACATATTTTTCAACTTTCAGAAAAGAAACTTTGACTCATCCAACAGATATAATCTCACAACTAAATCAACATCAACACCTGGAAACTTTGGCAGAAACTCAAGAATTCTCGTTGGAAGAAAACTGTAACCAATCAAAAATATCCTCACCGCCAGACAAACTCCCAGAAAGTCCAAGACTTACCACCATACCCAACCATATCAGACAGACCATATCAAAAGTAACCGAATGCGTATCAGTGGAAAAGGACAAGAATATCAGTATGAAACATATTAAGGAGCATAGTTTTAGTAATGCTAACGTTAATTCTAATGGAAATATCAAAAGAAATGTTGAAGACAGTTCTAAACAGGATGTGTTTAATTTAAATGCCAACAATGTTATTGATGGTATGAGTGAGAAGGTTATTAGTGTTAAAGATGGCGAAAATATGAATATAGAACCTATGAGGCCGTTGATGAGGGATTATTGCAGTACTTTGACGTTGCCAGGGAGACAGAGGAATCCATATAATAGAGCTGTAACAGTGGATGGGGATTATTGTGAGATATCTATGGCTAATGGGTAAGTAGGAACTTGTGGATCACCCTGTACATTTCAAAATATTTTTAAAATATGCACATTGCCTTCCCACATATACCTTTAAAATATTTTGTTTCTACATCTTTTCGTTTTTGTATAATTAACCGACGCGAATGAGGGGTGCCACTCTGTATATTTACCAATGTAAATCTACAGAGTGGCGTATAATATACAGCGTGGATACATATAAATCATAAAATATGGCCAAGAACAGTTAACCTAATAGGACTGCTCATTCAGCCAAAAATGTCCGCCAGGTGCATACGAAAACTCCTCGCTTTGTGACGTCATTGCAGTCCTTGTCATGGTTATTAGTCCTTATCCGGCAACCAATAATACACACACGTGCATTATTGGTTGCCGGATGCAAAAAGTTCATTATTTAGTTTATTTATTTAAACACCTTATATGTATGCAGTATAGAAAATTAACTGTATAAATCGTATTAAATACTCGGATAGTGCATTTTTAAGAACAACAGTTTCCAGCATCACCTTTTGCAGGCATTCTTTTCAAAGTACTTCCATAGTTTGCTTTAAAATAATTAATAAACAATATCGTAGGCACTTAGTAAGCACTTTGTCACAATCCACAACACAAAATGAACCTATTTATACTAATATTTAAAATTGACAAAATAATTAACTCAAAATTTCTCAGCTGTTATTTTTATAAGTTTACCCTAGGCAACTAATAATACATACTATCATGACAAGGACTACAATGACGTCACAACTGTCAGCTGAAGCGCGGGAAGAGGCGAACGTACGTCTTATGAGGATGAGCAATCCTATTAGTTTACCGTTCTTGATGCTTGGTGCAGGTTGGTAATATACAGGGTGGTCCGAATTGTATTCCGGAAACTTCAACAGCAAATTCTGCAGATAAAAATGAGTATGGTCAAAAATATTTAGTTTCGGAGATACAGGGTGTAGAAGTTTTATTTTTTATTTCGATTTTTTTCAAATAATTGCTGAAATAAGGTCAATATTTGGATGAAAATTGGTGTCTGGTAGTTTTTTGACATGAGAAATTTGAGTTTGATATCAATATGACTCCTACTTGTAGGGGGCGCTATCTACATGTGTTTTAACTGTTTTAAAGAGTAATAACTTTTCGGCCGTACCTCGTACCTGTATAAAACTACTGAGTAAAAAAATTAATTAATTTTTACGTATAATTTTTGTTCATTTTTTCGGAGAAAATTTTATGATTAATTTAAAAAAAAATAAAAAGTTCCTAAATTTATCATTTCAGTCAAATAACTATCTACTCAACACGTTAATTTTTGTCAATAATGATATGTATTGACTATTTCCATTCTAAATATCTTGAGAACGGTTACTCGTAGCGATTTTTACCAAGAGACATTTTTTACGTAAAAAATCACGGAAATGTATATTTTTTCACCCAGTAGTTTTATACAGGTACGGTCAAAAAGTTATTAATCTTCAAAACAGTTAAAACAAGTGTAGGTGGCGCCCCATACAAATAGGAGTCATATTGACATCAAAATCAAATTTCTAATGTTAAAAAACTCCCAGTCATCAATTTCGATCTAAACATTGAAGTTACTTCAGAAATTATTTGGAAAAATTCGAAATAAAAAAGAAAATTCTACACCCTGTATCTTCGAAACTAAGCATTTTAAGACATACATTTATACGAACTTTTTTACTTATTTTCATCTGCAGAATATGCTGCCGAAGTTTCCGGAATACAGTTCGAACCACCCTGTATAAAAGAAATAAAGTTTTTTGTCTTTCATTAAATAATTACAAGAAATAAAACCGTTTTAGTGGAGTTTGTTTCTTTTAATTTTTAGTTTTTTTTGTTTAAAAAATAATAGGATTCAAAATGTACAGTGTCCAAAATGTTTGCAACAAATGAAGTATTATTTAATATTTCTATACTTATTTATTTTAAGTATAGCTATGAGGAAATTTTGTATTTTAATTAAAATTTGTATTTAATTCATTTTTACTGAAATATTTTCTTTTATCTTAAATCCTAATTTAGCTAAGCTAAATACTATTGTTTAAAGAAGCTTTGTTCCAATATAATTACGAAAGCTTGAGGGTATATTAGGTTTATAAGGCATTGTGCTACAGGCAAAGTAACTTTATCAAACTGTTCGTAACAGCAAGACGCCTTTTAACATTAATTAGTTAATAATTAAATATAACATAAATGTATGTTTTTTCATTTAATAAGAAAGTTTAAACAATGCTAATTTAATCTCTCAATTGAATTTGGTTAATGTCAAATAGCAATAAAAAATATTCGAATGCGAAAACTATTTAGTAGTGCAGAAAATGGTGTAATATTTAGAAAAAACATTTGTTTAAAAATAGGTAATAAATAAATGTAACAGAAACTATTTCCTTTTCAGATATCTTTCAGAAAGTGAACTGTTAAGAGGTCCAAACCCTGTGGATATTGCTGACGGGTATCTTTCTGAAGGAGGTTCTGTTTTATATGCCAGAAGACTCCAGAATATGCCAACTCATCCAATGCCAAATGGGTAAGTACCTTATTAATATTTTCTTGAATCCATCATAGTGAAAAAAAATTATTTGACACACTTATTTTCCACATTAACGTTGATTCTCACTATACCTTCCGTTTCCATTCCATATTCGTTCCGTATTTTTATTGTATTGACGCTATACATAAGCTTCCGTTCCGTATCAGTCCCATACTTTTTATTGTACGATTATTTATATCATTACGAAAGTTTTATTTTAAAAATTTGTATCTTTTGAAAAAGGTAATAGATTTAATTAAGAGGTGAAAGAATAAATAAATATTAGCAAAATTTTATCAGAGCTGGTACAAATGTAAGAACTTGACAACATGTTTCCGATACGCTTCAGTCTGTCCGCCAAAAAAATGTATGGAAACGGAACGGATAGTGTGCATTGTCCTATTCATTTACATGATATAATATTTTATGTAAACGGAAGGGAAACGGAAGGGAGCTGATATGGACAGTATAGTGAGAATCAACCTTTATAATGCCTTATCCCCGAATTTCAAAACTCGAAATGCTACTGCCTATAGAAACGTGAAAACTGTCACACTCTAAACCTCAGAACTCGTCGACACCGGTGTAGGGGAGAGAAGTGCATTAGGCACCGACACAATGTGATTTATTTCCACAATTTGATTGTGTGCGGTTTGCTTTTGCGAAAACACGGAGGAAAACAGGGGGGAACATTAGGAAGCGAGACGAGATAGCCGGAGGTGTCGAGAAAAATTTATGACATCATCATGAAAATGGACAGAAGGCATGGAAAACAGCGGTCTAGACGAGTGCGTTGTCAGCTGGTTATTCTCTCGCTTGTACCGGTTGATCTCTCTGTTCTTTGTTTGGAGAACGAATTTACTTGTTTATTTTTGCAGGGTGGTTTGAATAGAGTGCCAAAAAATTATGTTCTCGCTAACACATCATTATTTCTATCATTTTTTGCCCTTAATTTTCGTTCTAGATTTTTAATTATGGAATTTAAGAGCTTCTAATGTCACAAAACCAATGAAAAATCATATTCGCAACAACAACAATTGATTTACAAGGTTGGTGTTGTTATTTAATCAATACTTATTATAGGTTGCTTTCAAATTAGACTGGCACAATATTGAACAAATTAAATGAGTATTATATCAAGTTAAGTATGAAGAACTATACATATATCAAAAATGAGTGGAAACAAGTTAACATATCGGATGATATCGTAGTCTATAAGTCTGATCTCGTTGGTTGTACGATGACGTAAAAGCCTGTCAGAATTAATGACAGTCATCACGGTTGCGTTATTATGATATTTTTAGTTGATTTCGGCCGAACGAGGGGATAGAACAACAATAGGTATATGACTAAGCTTAGCAAGCAAGACGATGGAAGATGGAAGTAGCAAACAGTATATAACGTGGTAGAAGAACTCAGTTTTGATTGATAGGTTTAAAGTCTGCAGTCTCATTTTTGTCAATTTATTTAGAAATAATGCAAGTTAATTTGTACATAGTAATTTATAACCAGCTACTTCGCTGTTATTATAAAATGATAACATAACTATGTTAGTATCAAGCTCTTTTTCCATCGAACGAACTTTTTGGGATGGAGTCTTCGAGGCTCTTGAGTTCTGCTTTAAGTTGGTTTCCACTTGGGAAGCAGAAGTTCTGTTTGGATTATTCTGGTCCAGGTAGTGGAGTGTTGGCTCCTTTTCTAGCTAGATCGTTTGCTTTTTCGTTATTTTCTATCCGTTGGTATAGGGGCACCCAGAGTAGGAGGACTTTATTTTCTTTATCTCGAAATGATGGTTACTTAGTTGATCGCTCTTAAGGTTGCTTGATTATCGGATAAAATGGCTATTTCTTGTTTCCGAGAGTTCCTATCTAAGATCAATTGTACGCATCTTTCGATAGCGTAGATTTCTCCCTGAAGGATGATGAGATAGGTTCGTTATATTTAGTTTAATAGAATTAGTACCCAACCCTAGTATACCACATTATTGTAATGTCTTTCAACAACTGAGCAAACGTTTCTTTCTCAATACTACTACTAACATATCATAGAAAACACAATAGACTGAAAGAATATTTAAATTTTAATGTTTTTCTCACTAAAATACGATTATACGAAAATGTATAAAATAACCCTGTAAAAAACTCTATGAAGTTTGAATTAATTTTTGAAAAAACGGGGAGATGTGCGTCTATAGAAAATTAAAAAAACAAGCTCTTGGAGGGCTTTGAAATTGCTGTCTTTTTCTAGAAAACGCATCGAGAATGTTCTAATGAAATTCTCCCCTATCCTGTTGGCGAACCTGAACTGGGGGGCGTTATTCAATTAAATCGACATCAAAGATTATCCAATTTTAATCTTGCTAAGGTGGGAACGAGTTGGGCGCGCCGAGTCTGACGATATTTGTTTTTAATCTGGAAAACGAGAATTACCCAGGTTTTTAACTAATTTTTTAATCGTGTTTTTATTGTAATTCTGTTAGTATAGCTAAGATTAAATTCAAGTTTGATTGCAATCACTTAAAATAATACCACTGTTCAGAAAGTAGTTAAAAAAATACTTAAATCACGAGTTTTTGGTTTAAATAAGAAAATATCGTCGGTGAAACGTGATAAACTGCTAACTCCATTATGCCGAATTTTACAGGAGAGCAAAAAAACGGTACAAAAAAATATGTACACATGTAGGAAGTATTTTGATGCGTTAATATGATAAACAGATGAGAATTTTATTTTTGCTGGGGAACAATAAAACTCAATATTTCGTGTTACGTCATTTTTTTTCAGACGCAATAGGGAGATAGCAGATATTCGTCTTGCAGAAATAAGAAATAAAAATATACTTCTGGAGATAGCAACTTTTATTGTTGGAAATTTTGAAAATGGAATTAAATATTACCCAAACAGATTTAGAAATAATCAATTAAATTTAAAAAATATTATATTCATAACCATATATTTATGATATCGTCGGTCTAGAAGCAAAAAATACAAGTCCAAAAACGAATAAATTTTTAATGAAAATTTTAAAATTTTTTGCATTTTTAAAGAACTGAAGTAGCAGAATTTTGGACTTAATGAATATGAAAATAATTTAAAAATTAAACTTCGCTGTAACTTTTTTGCTATGGAAAATTTTGCATTTCTATGAAAACATTTCCAAAGCACCTTTTTACGTATAATTTAATAGTATAAGTATAATTTTTTTCAAATTAATAATTTAAAAGTTATCAACAAAAAAATTGATTTTTTATTTGAGACACCCTCTATATTTTTAATTAACCGAAAATAATTTAAAGTTACCTTTCCAAAAATATAGCACACTTGATAGTTTGTTATATTCCCCTTCGAAATACAGAATTTTTAAAAGTTATCCACTTTTAACTAGTAGGCTTTGGACACCTTATTGATGATATGCCCTTAATGGAACTAGAAACCATATTTTTCCAGCAAGAAGAGGCACCGCCTCAGAACGCTGAAGTTATCAGCAAATTTTTGCAGCCAATTTCAAGAATAATTGAATAGCTAACCAAGATCCCAGCCGTTGGCCGTTGAGGCCACCTGACTTAGTGCCCATGGATCTAATCCTATGGATGTAATTGCGGAAGAATAAAGGTTCTTTATTCTTCCGTATAATCTAGGCAAGAATTAGAAATACTTACTTAGCAGTTATGAGAGGGATTCTCTCACCCCCACTGAGTTAAGGAATTCCGCGAGAAATGTTCAGAAACGGCCCCGTCTGTCCATAACAGAAGATGGTCGATATAACAGAAGACAGTCGAACACCTGCAGCAAAATATAATGTCTTGGTTTGCTATTTATTTTTATTGTTATCAGATATAGTTCAAATATGTTGATGTTGGTTAAATATATTTTAAATTGTTATAAAATTCTGCATCTCTCATAGCAAATATTATTTTCGTTTTAATTGATGCTCACAGCTAGAATTTGTTTGCATTACAGCCGGTGCCATTCAAAGCCTACTTAATTAAAGCGGGCGAATTTTTGTATACTCTATATCTCGAAGAGGAATCGAGCATAATATCAAGTGTGTTATATTTTTGGAAAGGTAATTTTAAATTCTTTTCAATAAATTACAGATATACAGGGTGTCTCATATAAAATATCAAATTTTCTGTTGATAATTCTTAAATTATTAATTTTAAAAAAATTATACTTAAACCATTAACTTCTACGTAAAAAGGTGCTTTGGAAATGTTTTCATAAAAATACAAAATTTTCCATAGCAAAAAAGTTACAGCGATTTGTTAAAAATGCATATTTTTGAAAAACACCCCGTAATTCCGAAACAGTAACAGATATCGATATGCGGTTTTCACCATCATGTTTTTGTCTATCTCCTATAGAAAAGGGTGTTTCCATTTAAAAGCGTCGAATTTGACCCACCCTGTACAAGTAAGTAATGTTATTTAAACTATTTATAGCAGGCCGATGAATTGCTCGTATATAGAGAATTTCGTTTTTCCCCTTACCCTTTACGGATACACCGTATTTACAGGACGGATCGACGCAGGGTCGGACTGGCCATATTATATAGATAACTATTAGGGGGGGGGGGACAGCCTTCGCGGGCCCCCTTTATAGTTCATTTTTTATTCTTAACGATATTTGCTTTTGCATTGCATTGGTTTACCTTGCATTAGGGTAGTTCCCTGATTTCTATACAGGGTGAGTCTTAAATAAGTGCAAATATGTTCAGGGCTGGTAAATCTCGATAAAAGAAACATAATATTTTCTCTTTACCGTTTTTTCAAATAAATCCAAAACAACCGACTTATTTCACTTTTAAAATTTCCAATTTTTGGCTATAATTTTGAGAATCATTGGATTTTCTTTCTTGTAAATTTAATCTACTACCTATGTTACCATATTACAAACAAAGTATGTTTTTAAACTAAAAATTAAAAAAAAATTCAACTTTTCTTTTTAAATTCCAAATTTTAAAAAAAAAATTCGCGCAAAAAACCTCATAGGTGATCG